GGGGCGGCACCCTCCCCGGGATAAAACCGGCAGAGGCATTAGGGCCGCGGGAAAAGGAGAGAGAATGCCGGATGAAGGGGCTGAGAGTCTCGAAGAAACACCGGGACAAACCCGCTGGTGAGCGGGGGGTGAGGAAGCAGCCCAGGGCGGATGCAGGCAGGAGCCCGTGGGCTGATGCATTTAGGCACCTAGCCCCATCAGCCAGGTGAGGGGAGAGAGGTTATTCTCCTCTGCCTTAGGGCCCTGGGCTGGGGTCTGGAGAGAGGGAGGGCCCGGACCTCCCTCACCTCCCCGCTCGGGTGATTGTCAGGGCAACCAAAAGGAAGGTCGGCACCTCTCAGCTCAGCGGAACAAGAGGGGACTGGAGCAGCAAATGGGGAGGAGGGACATGACCAGGGAGGTCGGTGTCAGGGCCCCATGACAGTCACCCACAATATTCTTGCCAGCAAGTTAAGGGAATATGGATTGGATAAATGGACTGTAAGATGATAGAAAGCTGGCTAGTTCAGGGTTTCCCAAACTTTTTACTTTAGTTGGAACCCGGTTTTTTTCAGTACTGTTTTTTGCAACCCAAAAATATAAACGCATGTACGAAAAGAATGAAAAATGAATAAATTTTCAGTGTTTCACCCGGCTGCATCCTCCACCCAGCCTGGGCCAGGGCTTGGGGGACCCGGTGCTGCATGGGCACTCCAGGAGGCGGGAGCAGGAGCAGATTGGGGGTAGGGTATCTGGCTAGGAGGAAGGATGCAAGGAAGGGCAGGGTTGCCAGGTGTCCAGTTTTGTACCGGACAATCCGGTATTTCAGGGTTTTGTCTGGGAAACAAATTGAGAAATTACCAGACATATAAAATGTCTGATATTTTCTAAATAGGTAAGTTTTATTATAATTAGGTGTATCAGTCCTTAGCTAGGAAATGCCTGGCCGGTAGATGTGCTCACGCTGCCTGAGTGTGTCTACCTGCCAGGCAGTTCGCAACTACTCGAGGGAGGGTATGTGGAGAAGGGGGGCAAAATGGAATCCCCGGCCAGATTCACTCATCTGCCAGGGTCAGTAGGGTCTGCAGGTGCCCCGGTCAGTCCCGCTCCCCCCCTTCTCCTCCCGATCGCCCCAATCCAGCCCTGCTGCCCCCATCCAGCCCTGCTTCCGGTGGCCAGTTCCTCCCACCCCTACCAATCTTCCCCGGTCAGCCCCGCTCCCCCGACGACCTCCCCCACCAGCCAGGCT